AGCTGTTGCATTGTGGTAAACTGTGGTCAATGTCATGAGACAAAGTATATGTAAACTGCTGTGTGGAAAGTGAATTTGCTCTGTAAATCTTCACCAAAATCACAATAAAAATAAATAAATAAATAAAGTAAATTAGGAAAAAAAAAAAGAGTGAATGTAAATTAAATACTCCAGCTGAAAGATAGAGTGGCAGTATGGATTTTCCTCTTAAATGACCCATGCATACACAGTCTATAACAGATAAACCTTAGTTATAAAGACATAAATATGTTAAAAGTCAAAGGATAGGAAAGAAAAAAAAAATCCAACCAAACAGTAATCAAAAAGAGAGCAGGAATGACAATATTAGTATCTCAAAAAATGGACTTTAAGTCAAAATCTATTATCTATTATAAGAAACCAAGAAGGGCACTATATAATAATTCAATTCACTAAGAAGATATAACCATTATAAATATCTATGCACCTCACATCAGAGTCCTAAAATATATAGAGCAAACTCTAACAGAGTTAGAGGAAAATAGATGTATTTACAATAATAGTTGTTGTTGTTGTTATGTGCTATAGAGTCAGACCCAACTCATAGCAACCCCTCCTTGGGTTTCCGAGCAGTATCACTGCGGAAGTAGATTGCCCAATCTTCCTTCCGAGGAGTGGCTGGTGGGTTTGAACCGCCAGCCTTCTGGTTAGCAGTCAAGTGCCTTAGGCACTATGCTACCAGAGCTCCTACAATAAAAGTAGGAGATTTTAATATACCACTTTCAACAATGATAGAACAACTTGAAAGAAAATCAATAAAGAAACAGAAGTCTTGAATGTCACTATTGGAGCTCATTTTTGCAGCCACTTGGTCAATTGATCTTGTTGAGAATCTTCCTCTTTTACGCTGATCTGCTACTTTGCCAACCATGATATCCTTCTGCAGGGATTGGTCTTTCTGATAACATGACTAAAGTACAAGAGACAACGTTTGGCCATTCTTGCTTCTAAGGAGAATTCTGGTAGTACTTCTTCCAAGATAAATTTGTTCATTCTTCAAGCAGTCTATGGTACAATCAATATTCAACACCAAAACTAAATGCAACAGTTCTTTGGTGGTCTTCTTTATTGATTGCCCAGTTCTCACATGCATGTGAGGCTATTGAAAATGCGTTGGCTTGGGTTAGGCCCACCTTAGTCTTCAAAGTGATATATTTGCTCTTTAAAGTGGTCTTTTGCAGCAGATGTGCCCAATGCAATATGTTGTTTGATTTCCTGACTATTGCTTCCAGTTATGTTGTTGAAAAAGGCATTTGCAATGAATAAGTCATTGGTCGTGAAAAAAAATCTATCACGCAATCTGTGGTGTCATTTCTATCACTAAAACCCTATTTTCCAACTACTGATGTTCCTTCTTTGTTTCGAACTTTCACATTCCAATCTCCAGTAATTTTCAATACATCTTGAATATTTGGTCAATTTCAGACTGCAGAAGTTGGTAAAAATCTTTAATTTCTTCATCTTTGGCTTTAGTGGTTGGTGCATAAATTTGAATAATGGTAGTATTAACTAGTCTTCTTTGTAGGTGTATGGATATTATCTTATCACTCTTATAGCATTGTACTTCAGAACAGATCTTGAAACATTCTTTTTGATGATGAATGTGATACCATTCCTCTTCAATTTTTTGTTCCTGGCATAGTAGACCATATAAATGTCCAATTCAAAATGGCCTATACCAGTCCATTTTCAGCACACTAATGTATAAGATGTCGATCTTTCATTTGTTCACAACCTCCAGTTTTTCTAGACTCACACTTTGTACATTCCACATAATGACAAAATAATATGACCTAGTTTCTGATTATTAATGAATGTTTGCAGCTGTTTTTTTTTTTTTTCTCATTTTAAGTCATGTCACATCAGCAAATGAAGGTCCAAAAAGCTTTACTTTATCCACATCATTGAGATAAACTTTACTTTGAAGAGGCAGCTCTTTCTCTGTTGTATTTTGAGTGTCTTCTAATCTGAGAGGTCATATTCTGGCATTATATCAGATAATGTTTCACTGCCAT